AATCTTCCAAGGGATTCAGGAACAAGGGCACAGAGGTAATGAATTTTGAGTTGGGTCCTGGCACGTGAGTAGGAGTTTGCAAAGCAGAAAATAGGAGAAAAATTATACCAGGCAGAGAAAAGTGTATAAGAAAACCAAAGTAAAAGAATAGCAAGATCTCCTGAGCATAACAATAATATTGAAACCATGGGTACAAATTAAATCCAGTTCAATGAGTTAAAGCCATGGCCCCTTGCTCTGAATCATCAACAACCTAACTTTCTCTGGATCTGCTGCAAAGCGATTTCAGGGTCACACCAAACATTCTTCCTTAACTAAAAACGATGCCTTGAGAATTCACTGATGGCCACAGTGCAATCAATACTAATCAGTTAATATGCACTGGCCCTGAGATAACAGAGCACCTAGAATCCCAATGTATGAATTCATACCTAATCAATATACTGCCTTATATGAGTTGAGGATTTGTTCACATTCCAAAGCATTTTAGTAAGATGCTAAGAAAAATCAATAACTTATTAAATACCAGTTACTGCATTAAAACAAACAATTAATCATCTTTGTTGCTATTATATTGGGACCACAGATCTGACTTTATGTGTTTTTCATTGGTGTGCATGCTCACAGGTTTACTCCCTTCATTAGAGGAAATGACAGAACTCATGACAGCAATGCTATCAAGAAGGAAGTTTCAGTTTAAGAACCCCTCTGGGCTTGCAGAATAACACACTACAGCCGAGATGGTGCTACTATAAGAAATGGACTCCCCAGCACATTATTGAAGACAAAAAAAACCCCTGCAGCAATAAAAAAAAAAAAAGCAGGGGGATGGGGGGGCAAAGCGATAACTTCAGCTGGAAGTGATGAAAATCAATTGTTAGAAGTAGAAGAGACCTTATGCTACTAAAACAATAATCATCACTTCAAATATTTCCTGTTCTTGAAATGTTTTGTCAGTGCCCTGTGATACCAGGAAATAAAGTTACGTTCATTTCCAGTTTTAAGATGGAAATGGGAGTTCACATTAGCGTACATATATATGTTGTGAAATGGAAAAATGAGACCCACTGTCAGCCACAATAATAAGTACCTTTCTCAAAAAATGAAGACTTCTGGTCCTGTTTCATTGACCTGTTAGGAACAGTTAACTTTCTAATTTTTTTTTTTTTTTTGAATACAGATTTCAAGTTGCCTCTTCCATGGCCATGATGTCATCAATTTCTTAGGAATATAGAGAAAAGGTTGAACTATATGCCTATGAACCTGTAAATAAGTTACTCTTCTTATCTATGGAAATGTCCCCTACACTTAAAAAGTATGATCAGTATTATGTAAGCTAAACTGAGAAGTGCTGAGTTAAACAAAATTATCTCACTAAATTATATCTGATAGGGTTTTTTTTTTCCCCTAGGAATCTTTGAATAGCATTTTCTTAAGAAATTGTGATTATTAGGTCCAAATAATTTAAAGTTGCCATTTCATTTGGAGTTGGTTGATTTTTGTGTGAATGTTTTTGCAAAGAGCATTCATATGTGAGTCTTCCCTGCAGGCTGCATGGTGCAGTGGAAAGAAAACAGATACTGCATTTATTAGTCTGGATTTGAATCCTAACCACCCTCAGACTGTCTTTAGTCAGTAACTTTACTTTTCTAAGTCAGTATTTTCAGATATTAAATAGAGGCAAATAACATTTCCCCTACGTACCTCGCTGGAGTATCATTATGACGAGCTAAAGTCGTGTGTATAAAAGAGTATTATAAAATCTGGGACCCTAACTGGTTAGTCATCCTGTTTTGTTGCACTAAAAGAAACACAACAAAAAGAAACCCAGCAACTGAAATTTATTTGCATCTTTAAAGAGTACTAAAAGAGATCGAATTTATAATTCACAGCACTTTTTTTTCTTTTTTCTTTCTTTTTTTTTTTTTTTTTGAGACTGAGTTTCGCTCTTGTCACCCAGGCTGGAGTGCAATGGCGTGACCTTCAGCTCACTGCAACCTCTACGTCCTGGGTTCAAGCAATTCTCCAGCCTCAGCCTCCCAAGTAGCTGGGATTATAGGTGCCCACCACCATGCCCAGCTAATTTTTGTATTTTTAGTAGAGATAGGGTCTCACCATGTTGGCCAGGCTGCTATTGAACTCCTGACCTCAGGTGATCTGCCTGCCTCAGCCTCCCAAAGTGCTGGGATTACAGGTGTGAGCCACCGCACTTGGCCAATTCACAGCACATTTCTGATAGTCCCCCTTACTGTACCTCTCAAGTTCTCTCACACTCGCACATTCTCACATATGGTTGTTTTGGAGTCTCTTTCTTTATCAACTCCTCCCTCTCAACTCTCCACCCAACCCCTCTCCAACACTCAGGACTCAAAACTTGTCTATACTGTCTTCTCCCCCATCCCCTGTGTACCACCTCTTCTCCTCAAGCTCTTTATTGCATATATCATTTTGGCTTTCTGCCTTCCTTCCATACAGCTATGCTCCAGATTCTCCACCAGAAAAGCCTAGGGGGGAATCCAGCAGGCAAGAATCTTCCATGCAACACTCCTATCCCCAAGCAAGTGGTGTGGAATGAAGAGATGGAGAATACGCGTACATTCATATTTTTCACTTTGGGAGGCTGAGCAGGCAGATCACCTGAGGTCAAGGGTTTGAGACCAGCCTGGCCAACATAGTGAAACCCCATCTGTACCCAAAATAGAAAAATTAGCCGGGCATGGTAGCACATGCCTATAATCCCAGCTACTTGGGAGGCTGAGGCACAAGAATCGATTAAGCCCAGGATGCAGAGGTTGCAGTGAGCTGAGATCATCCCATTGCACTCTAGCCTGGGCAACAGAGTGAGACCTGTCTGAAAAAAAAACAAAACACACACATACACACACACATAATTTTAATCCTTTTTGCACATTAATATTTTCACCCTAGCTGTTGTTCTCTATGCATATTAATAATTATATTGTCTTTTAGTTTTTAGTTTAGGTAATAAGGTCTTTATTTTCAAAATAAGTAAAACAAATAGCAAGGAATTGACCCAGCAATTGATTCAGGATCCCAAAATTAGTCAAGAATGTAGGTAGAAAGTGAGTTTTAATTTTTTTCTACTCTACAGAACAGTAGTTCCTAGAGTATGTTCTAAGATATCCCTAGAAATGCCTCTGAGAAAGAAATCCAAGGCCAAATACAACAGAAAAGTGCTGTACTCTGTCTTCCTTCAAGGGGCCGGGGTCCACAATGCATACTGGCAACTGAGGGAAGTCCTGAGTTTGTAAAGAAATCTATTCACAAAAACAGAGATTAGAGACTTAGTGGGAAAAGCAAGATTATAAAACATTTAGGACAATATCTTTTATCTCTTGTAGGGAAACTTTCTTAAATTGGACCCCAAAAGTACAACCATAACATAAAAGATTGATACATTCATCTATATTAAAATGTAAAACTTCTCTTCATGAGAGAACATCATTAAGTAATGAAAACATGAATCACAAATTGAGAGAAGAAATTTTGCAAATACGTAACTTAAGAATTACAATGAAGAAAGCATAAAGAACTCCTAAAAGTCAATAAGGAAAAGATAACCCAGTTAGAAATTGGGCAAGAACATGGATAGTAGCATTTACGGAAGAGGAAGCTTAAACAACCAACAAATATATGAAAAGATGCTCAAATTCACTAGTAATAAAGGAGATGAGAACCAAAATCACAATGAGATGGCAAAAAATTCAAGTCTGACAATACCAGGTGTTGGTGGGGATACAGGGCAATGACATTTAAAGCCTGTTAGACTGAATGAAAATTAGAATTGTCACTTTGGATCACAATTTGGTTAATCCTATAAAGGTGAAGATGTACCTACCCTCACACCCACTGATATATACCTAGAGAAATTCTTGCAAATGTGCTCTAAAAAACATGTACCAGGAAGTTTCTAACACCATTGTTTGTGATGGTAAAACATCAAAGCCAAACTAATATTAATGAGACAAGAAAATGGCAAATGAATTGTTCATAAACAAAATAAATAACAGCAAAGAAAATGAACCACAGCTATGTGTATCAACACATATGAAGTCCAGAAACACAGAACGGAATAAAGGACAAGTCTCAGAAGAATATCCACGGCATGATTTCATATAAAGCTAATTCAAAAGCTTTTTTAAAAAAATTTTTTTTGAGACAAGGTTTGCTCTGTCACCCAGGCTAGAGTACAGTGGTACCATCTTGGCTCACTGCAGCCTTGACCTCCTGGGCTCAACTGATCTTCCTTCCTCAGCCTCCTGAGTAGCTGGGACTACAGGCATGTGCCACCATGCCTGGCTAATATTTTTTCAAAAATTTTTTATAGACATATGGTCTCACTAAGTTGCTCAGGCTGGTCTTGAACTCCTGGCCTCAAGCAATCCTCCCACCTTGCTGCGATTACAGGTGTGAGGCACCAGGCCCAGCCCAAAAGCATATATAAATTTAAAAGATATCATTTAAGGATATATATATTTATATACCTATAGTAGAACCATTATGAAAAACAAAACTCAAACACAAAATTCAGAATACTGATTACTCTGGGGAAAGGAGGAGGCTACAATCAGAAAGGGGCAACCAGGGGACTCTCCGGGATTGGCAGTGTATTTGTTAAGCTGGGTTTTTATTGTTCTTTATAGTGTGTGTGTGTGTGTATAAATTTTTTGTATGCATTAATATTATGCATTCATTTTAATTTTTAATTTAACTTATTTAGCTCAGTATCTCACAGACATTGCCCATGTAATCCTTTTATCTCCTTACACATACTAACACCCAGTCAAGTTCAGTTTGGGAAACACTGCTCTAGGCCTTAAAACCTCTCTTTTGGCAAAGAGACTCGCCCCAGCCAAAACTTGGGGCTATTATTCCAGCAGGGCCAGGATGCCAGGACAGATGCCCAGCTCTTCCTGGGGCCACGCTTCTCCAGGCTATGCTGGTGCATGTCTTCATAAGCACACATAAACTGTACATACCAGCCTCACTTCACGTTTTAAAAGTCCTTGTTGTGGAAGTAGAAGGTGGTCTGTTGATGTATACAAAACTAATATTCAACTCCTCCACGTCCTTGAAGTCCACTTTCTCTCCCCAGCATGTCCAGGTACACATGGCAGGAGAGACAACACTCCAAGCAGAGGTGCACGTTCCTGTAAGAATGAAAATTATTCTGGAGAGCTCAGTGTTTTCTGGGTTTTACCATGGAAGTATCTAGTCAGGCGCAGCATTTTCTGAGGCAATTCCCCTGTGCAGCTAATGCTTAATAATCTTCAAATATAAATAGCTCCTGCTGGGCTTTTGATGTTCACACCTTGGTGGACTCGTTGAGAGATACTTTACAGCTGGTTGCATTGCTGAGAAGCCAACATATTTTTCGCCATACCTTTGCTGATAAAGGACTTTTGAATCGCTGTGATTGTAGCAATATTAAACTCCCATGCATGGCCATTGGCTTTAGTCGCTCATTAGTATCAGGTTTAATGAGGTCAGGCTAAAAGAAGATTGTATGGTCTTCAACTGAGTTGATATTGATTGTCACTACCGTGGAGTGGCCTACTATACTTTAGACCCCTGGTTCAGAGGGAATATTTCATTTTCGCGAACATTGTCTTCCATTGTGAAGATTGATTTCAGCATAATGATCCATCACCTGAGGAGATTCACTCTGCTGCTTCGAAACTCATATCTTGTAACCAGACATTTTATATTCTCTGAGTCTCCCATTCCCAGCTCCCCGGCTTACTGCACCTGCTTTTTCATAGCTCACAGTCCTCTCTCCTTACAGGGGATGCCACAAAGATGTTCGCCCCTCACTTTTTCCCCCATTTTCTTTTTCTAGAAACCTTGTCACTTACACACAGTTTCTAGCTCAGGAGCAAGCCATCTATCATCGCATGAGGTGAAGGTGGCACGGAGCAGTGTGTGCTGAAGCAGAACCAACATGGAAATGGTGAATTTGTTTTCACAAAGTGTCAAATGGACTGAGGTGTCCTTAACACACTGGCTTTACCCCGGAATGGCATTTGGAGGGCAAGGAGCTGACATTTTCCTCAACCCAAGGCTGGGAGGTCAGATGAGCAGCAAGAAGATACTGGAAATCCATCCCCACTGTCTCCCTGGGTCTCACGTCACACTTTCTCTTTGCACATCTGCTCGGTCTCCTCTCTTTCTCTGCTCACTAGCCTTCTCTGGTCCCAGCCCATAGAGCAGAGTTCATGACTGCCCCAGGTCTCCTGAGGACACATAGTCCAACCATACTTCTCTCCAGTCCCAAATCCAAATTACCGGAGTTGCAATTTCAGTTGACTCCATCTGGATCAGCTGCCAATCCACTGGAGCCAGAGGTCAGGGGTACAAGCACCCAAATGTTCCTAGGGGCCATTTCCTCTGACTCTGGGAGCCCAATTAAGAGTGTTATTACAAGCTGGACAGACATACCAAAGTGCATCCAATATATGCACCTGTCCTTAAGAACATAATAATACTTTAAAAAATCATGATGATGCATTCTATCATTTATTTTACAAATAATCAATGAACACCTAATTTGTCATGCACTGTGCTAGGTGCTGAGGATTCAGACAGATGAAGTCCAGCCCTCTAGTGCGAGAGGTAAACAAAAGAATAAACCAACTTACAAACAAAATAATAACAGATTGCAATAACTGCCACATAAAAAATGGAAGGGGTTATGTGACAGAGTATTACAGGGATGCACGTGGAGGCATGCTTATCTGAGCCCTCTGGAAGAGCTAATGTTAAATACCTAAGGAAGAAGGTGATTTCAGCAGAGGGGATGGGGGCCCTGAGGTGGAAAAGAACCTAGAGGATATAATATGAGTTTAGAGACATGGACAGGATCCAGTTCACTCGCGGCCTGTGCACCATGCTAGGAGGCTGGGATTTTATTCTAAGGGCACAAGGAAGATGTCGATGAAGATCAAGCAGAGGAGAGCTTGATCTGACTTATGTTTTTAAAAGATGACTTTGGGGTGGGATAGTGTGGAAGCAGGGAGGCTGTTTACGAAACTGTTGTGGTAGTTCAGGAGAGAGAGCAGATGAACCTTTGGGAGGGTGGCAGTCATTAGGATGGACAGATGCTACAGTCCAAATGTTTGTGGCCCCCAAAATTCATACATTGAAATCCAATCCCCAATGTGATCATATTAAGAGGTGAGGCCTTTAGGAGGTGATTAGGTCATGAGTGGGGAGCTCTCATAAATGGGATTAGTGCTGTTATAAAAGAGCCTGAGGGGGCTCATTTGCCCATTCCACTAGGTGAGGAAGCAGCGAGAACGTGCCATCCATGAATCAGAAAATGGGCCCTAACCAAATCTACTGGCACCTTGATGCAGGACTTCCAGCCTCCAGAACCATGAGAAATAAACGTCTGTTGTTTGTAAGTTGCTCAAACTGTAGTCTTTTGTTGTAGTCACACAAACTAAGACAACTGAAGAACCAGATTCTAGATGTATTTTGTAGTAGGACAGCCCAGAACTTGCTGATGCATAGGATTTGAGGAGGAAAAAAAAGAAGAATTTCAGATGACTCTTAGCTTAGGTTTCAGTGGCTGCATGGATGGTGAGCCATTTTCTGGAATAGGGCAGATTGGAATGACTGACCAGGTCTTTATCACAGAAGACGTCAAAGCAAGAACTCTGCAGCCCCAGATATCAAGGTTCTTGGAACCTGATCTGCTGAGGAACTCTTAGTTCTCTCTGTAGTCCAAGGGCTCTAATTCTTATAGACTATCACTGTAATTCCATTTCAGTCACCCCAACCGTACCTCCTCCCTCAAAACCTACCTATCTATCCCTAGGATGCTTAGAGGAAGAAAGGCTTGGGGTTGATGCAGTGAATTAACACAAATATCAATTCTCTCCTTTCTAACTCTGTACATTGTTAGGACAACATTGCTCCAAGTGCCGTATCAGCCTCCACCTCTACAATAAGGGCAGGGAGAACATATTTACTTCACAGAGCTTTCATTTTTAAAACTGAAACAAAGCTATACATCTAAAGTACTTACCACAGTGCCTACATTATGTTGAGTGTTTGGTATATATTGGATGTCATTATCCTTAGCATTTCTTTTTTTTTTTTTTTTTTTATTTTTTTTTTTTCAAAGTAAATTTATTACCAGGTTCAAATCTGCTGCTTATACAGAGAGACTGGAAATAGGTTTTGTTTGTCTTTAGCTCTACAGATGAGGGATGTTTTGTAGCAGTATAATTATCCAGGCAAAAAATTTCACCACCAGGAAAATAGATGTTCAATTGCATTTGCCCAAAATAAAAATTAAGATGGATTAAGACATAAAATCTTTTCCTGATTTGTGAAAGTATTTGTACGAAATGTCTTACCAAGATATAAAATTAAATTACATTTAGTTATACATTTAATTAATTCCTTATTGAAAAGAATAAAATACATGAAATGAGAACTATTCCAGAAATTCAGTATATATGGTCATTGTCCAATGGAGATCAATATAATGGGATTTCACTTGCATTTCCTGCCAAAGAATTGCTTTTCTGGCATGTAGACATCACTTAGAGGTTGAAGACAACAAAAGAATGTCTCACTAAAGAGCATTCTGGTATCTCTTTTCCTATAAATTCTCAAGTGTGGAGCAGACAGAGTATGTCTACTAATTAAATGTAATAATCTCTTTCAAGAGGTTAGCACTTATGTTATCTAATGTGATTCCCTCTATTCCCTCTATTCAGCCACACATTTTGTCTTGGAGGCCATCTCTTCAGACAGGAAGATAATATATTCTCAAGACTCGGGGGGACCTTAAAGGCCAACTCATCCAACTCTCCATCAGGATAGAAAATAAATGAGATAAAGAAATATTCTCTGCTGTTTGAGTTCTACCCAAAGCATAGAATAGCCAATAGCCTTGGAGAGAATATACAAGGGAATAGCTACTGCTATTCCCACCATCCCGCATTCAGCTGCCCTTACAGGAAAAGCAAGCAATCCTGCCTCATTGACGGGCAGAGCTTTACCATGTTCACAAAGTTAAAGCAATCTCCTACTGAGATTCCATGATAGGCCTCCTCTTAGTCTTAGTAGTGACCTTTCCTTTTGAAGGAAGTCCCCATGAGCCACAAATATCTGATAAAACCCAATACATCAAAGAAGCAGGGTGTGCTAGGTAGAATAATGAACCCCTATAGATGCCCACATCCCAATCCTCAGAACCTGTGAATACATTCTATTTGCACATGAGCTATGATATTTATACGGTAATATAACATAGAAATGTGTATGTATGTACATTTCTGCTCATATGTATGAAGTATATTGTTACTAATCAGTGGTTAACCTTGAGACAGGGAGATTTTCCTGTCCTGGAGTATCCAGATGCCCCAATGTGATCACAAGTGTCCTTATAAGTGAAGGTGGGAAGCAAGAGAGTGCGGGTCAGAGTCAGAGAGAGATTGGAAGAGGCTGCCCGGCTGGCTGTAAAGATGCGGGAAGGGGCCACCGCTAAGAAATGCAGGCAGCCTCTAGAGCTGGGAAAGGTAAGGAACCAGATCCTCCCACAGAGCCTACTGAAAGAAGCACAGCCCTGAGGACATTGTTTCTAAGCCTAATAAGGCCCATTTCAGACATGTGTCCCCAGAACCGTAAGGGAATAAATCCATGCTGTTTTAAGCCACGAAGTTTGTAGTCATTTGTTACAGGAGTAATTGAAAACCAGTATGTAGGGTGGGTAAACATGAGAGGGTAACAAGAGACTTCATTTCCTCCCAAAGCCTCTTGGAAACCTCACAGGAGCCCCAGTTGAAGAGCCGTGTATGTGTGTTCCTGACCCCCCAAGGGCCAACCCACAGCTTCCAGCTACTGATGGCTTTTTATCGTGGCATAGTGAAGGCAAACCAGGTACTCATATGCAAAATAATTTCAAGGAGAGAGTTAAGGTGGGGAGAAATTAACGGACATTTTAACAGGCCAGGCATGAAGTGGTGAGCATGGAAACAGAGTAGCAGCGATTAAAGAAAAGCCATGACTTTAGGGTCACTTCCCCACCACCAAGCCTTGGCCATCCTGGCTTTCCCTCTGTTCCTACAACTCTCTGTGCTCATGGAGAGCTTGGGCCCTTCTGCTTGAAAAGATCTCTCCCCTGATAGTACATGGA